CGCTAGGCCGGCGCGGGGCCCTTTAAGAAAGCGCAGCACAGTAGCAGGGGCCGGCCTTGCCCCCCGCAGCCCGCAGCGCTGGAGCGGCGCTGGGGAATAGGAAGCAGTTCCTGGTTTGGATCCGAGAGAGCGCACGTAGCAGTAGGAACAGCAGAGCCGCCGCTGAAGCTGGAGCAGCAGCAGGCACCCCAGCTCCGCTCGCTTAGCAGCATCCAGCGTGGGGATCAGCGCTCTGCCTGGCTCCCGGACACGGGATGGACGTTCCTGAGCACTGAGCTCAGCGGCTGTAAAAAGCAAGTAGGAAAATATACATCTGGATAAAATTGGTAAGTCAAACTAATCACATCCTCTTCCTTGGACTGCAGTTTTTCAGTCTCTTAATTTGTAATGTTCTTCGCAAGCTTTCTCTTTCTCTCTCTTTTTTTTTAAATTTTTTTATTTTTAACTTTTAAGCAGAACAGCTAGGAAAACATGGAAGCAAAATAAAAGTGTAAAAAAGCTTTGGCGATTTGTCAGTGTTTGTGCTCTTATTTTTTAAATCCTCTTTCTACATAGAAGAATTGCTGCAGAAGTGAGGAAGGAGAAACCAGCAAGTGGTTTTGTATGTGGGGATACAGAATGCTAGTAAGAGTTGTAATTGGCTTTTCCTTAGGACATTGATTAAAGACAATGATTAAAGATTTCAAAAAACAAACAAATAATAAAAAAAAAACCAACAAAACAAACCCCAAGTTTCAAAAAGTTTGAAATGACTTGTCATTTACTTTTACAGAGTAATCACAAGTCTCGTGTTGAAGTCTTAAACGTACTGAGATTTGTACAGTAAGGAGAATGGACTTTTAAAAACTGTATTGTTAGTGTAAATTTGGGAGCCAGAGTATTGCTGGGCAAGTGTTGTATATATTTGTTTCAATTTAAGTAAATCCATCGTCAGCCCTGGGAGGGCGCAGAGACAGGAGATGCAATTTCCCTCATGGCAGATAGAGGGCGCTGTTGCTGCACCCGGCATCAGCCTCCCTGAAATGGGGAGCTGGTAAAAATCCAAGTGGAAAATCTAGTGGGGGCGAGATGTTTTAAACCATTAAACCAGTAATTTTTCATACGAGTGCAAAGCTATATGCATAGAATCCACTTGGATCTGCCAATGTTTTTAATTTTCATTCCCTTAAGTTTTGGGGGCATTTTTTTTGTTTGATATGAAATTATCTGAAATACAAAAAGAAATATATTAGAGCCTGGTTATGACCTTGTTATCTTTTCTGGAGCATGTTGTGAAGTCATTCTGGATCAAGAAGTGGAGAGAAAGTGTGGAATCTCTTGACAGAAATGTTACTTCGGTAGTGGTGTGGAAGATGAGGAAGAACTGTCACTCAGTGTTGACCAAGTTGCAGGCTGGAATTGGACATCTGACATGGGAGCATATCCTTTGTATCCAGTACAGATGTACAGCAGAGGTTAGAGATCTACAAGTGACTAAGACCTGTAAACCCTAGTGACTGAATGGCATATGGTCAAGTAGTTTGGGGAAGGGGGAAGGATCATGTCCAGATATACAGCTTTCCATATAGAAATCCCAGTACTGCTGCAAGAGGCTGACAGCTGTGCCATATTTCACCCATGTAATCAAAGAGTTAGAAAATGCAGCAATAATCTGTTCTTACCTTTGTGTGTGTTTACTTGCTTATGTATCGCCTGGGGTGTAAAATATTCTTTGTTGTGGAGTAGGAATTTGGGTTTACTTAAATCATAGGCTTTAAAAGGAATGAAGGTATTATTTTAACCAATGCAGCTCTCTTGTGAGTAGAGAATTGACAGTGAGAATTTTCAATTTCCCCTCTGATCCAACCTCTGTTAGAACTTGATGTTTCTGTTGTGACCCAGGGCTTTGGTTGTGCCTTGAACAAGACTTTTCTGTCTGACTGTATTCCTGTTGCTTACAAATCACTTGCAGTGGAGTGGAAAGATTTGCAGGTTTTGAGTCCTTAATGTGAGACATGCTGGGCAAAGCAGATTAAAAGAACTGAATGACCATATGGAACACAGTCATATTCTGACTATAATTATTATGCCTCATTGAAAAGTTTAGAGTTCTACTACCTCTGTTGAATCAGTGGAGTATGTGAAGAGAAGAAAACTTTCTTACCTGCAAGAGACAGTAAAACACTTATTGTGCAGCAGTGCATTCTTGCTATATTAGCGGTTTTTCAAGAAAAAAACAGCCATTTCTTTATACTCCTTATGCTTCATTAGACATCCAGGTATGAATGGCCCTGGATCAGAGGAAAGATTTCCCTCTTCAGTTCCTCTCTGAACTAGCAGGTATTAGTCAGGTGTCTGACTACTGCCTTAGTAACTTATTGAGGAATTTTTTTCACTTCTCTTCAAGCAGATTGCAAGTTCATTGAAAATTGTAGAGCTATCAGACACTCTGAGATGATACATTTGAATCTAGCAGATGCTTGTCTTCATAGGAGGCTAATTTATGCAATCAAAGTGTCTCCTCCACTATCACTGATGTCCAGCTAAGCTCTTAAAAGCTGCATCTCTCCACTATTTGTCTGCATTACATGTTTAATATGGCAGCTGTAGTTGTTTCAGTTTAATTCTCCTATTTGCCTATATTTCAAATTAAAATCTTTTCTTCAGAAATGGAGAAGATAGTGTGATGTGCCAGATACGATTTTTACTGTGTTTGGAAATTCACTTTAGTATTTGTTTTATTTTGCTCCCAAGTGTTTTGCTTTGAGTTACTTTGTACCTGGGAGTCAACACTGTAAGTCTGTCTGCAGCTGATGCTAAGGTACAGCAGAACCCTGCAGAGTTCCCAAAACATTAGCTTAATATGACATATGCATGAAATATTTAAAATGTAAAGGGATCCTCCACCTGTATTTATGCTAAATTAAAGAAACAGAGCTTCCTTGAATAGCTTTTTTCATTAGAGACCATTAATCTTTTTACTTGCCAGTCAATACTTGGCATGCTGGCAGTGGTATAAATTCTGTGACTGCCATTGGAGCATTTAGCTCCTCCTTGCTTACACTGACAGTAACTCTGCTAAGTGAGTTTAGCCAGAGCAAGACTTGTGATTACTCAACAAATTTCTGTCAGCTTGGTTTCTAATATATTTTTTGTCATTGTTTCACAGAGCTTCAGGTTAATTAATCTTTGAGCATCCTATAATAGTTTACTTGATGAAGCCTACTGCAAAATCCTTTCTCTTAGAATGTTTCCAATGTTATGAAATGCTGGATGATACCACAGGTTATGAAGGCTTGTAGGTGCTCACACAGCTGTGGTGAATCTGGCCATGTTCTTTGTTGTAGGTAAAGCCTCTTTCTGCTTTATATCACAGAACTAGGACCCCAACTTAAAACCGCAGTTTCATATCAAAGACTGACTGTACTGGTAACATAGTAACTTTTTTTCTTCAAAGAGAGATTTTGCATACTGGAAAGTGGTCGGTGTGGTTTTATGTTTGATTTATTTCCCTGTCTCTACTTTAGCATTTGGAATGCCACATTTTCCACTGCGCATGGGACAGGTTTATCTGTGTAAGTGGAAACCTCTCAATATGTTGTCCTGTGCAAGATCAAAACATGTTAACTTGCACAGAATACAAAGGAAAGTAAATAAGATTTAGTAGCTTTGAAGGTGAATATGGAAGGAATTGATGCAGGAATGTGTTCCCCAAAGAATATTTTCAGCTCTATGTAGCTAGGCCTGACTCTCCCAGGGAGACTACGTCAGATCTGTCTCCAAAGAATTGATTAAATTTCATCTTCGCATATGTACATCTGTCATTTCATGTCTGAGACGATGTCTGAGCTTTTCCTTTTATTATATGTAATTCCAAAGTTCTTTTCTTCTTAGCCAGGTTCATCGGAATCCTTGGATGCTTCAATCTCTCCTTAATCTCAATCTATTGTTGAGAGTATTATTTCTGAAATGTAAAAATAAGGAACAAGAAGTCTTTAAATTTTTTTAGGCACTCTACCAGTTTAATTATGCTTTCAAAAACATGGTAGTGACCTAATGTATCATTAAATTATCACACTTAAATACTGCATTTACCTTGCTGGCCAGTAAATGAAGCAATGATGAAATCCCTTTTGTTCTTTTTGCTACTCCCTGAAACCTGTGAAATAATCTTCTGAGCATTTGGCAAAAGTATGTATCAAGTTGATAAGCTTTGTAGCATGAAATGAGGAAAAGAGGCAGGAATTTTTAGCTTTCTAGGGACCAAATAAGGTACTGCTGAGATTCCCTCCTACTCCTTTTTCATAAATTCAAGACCATAGATTGTAAAGATTCCATATGAGAAGAAAAAACCAAGGTGACAGCTGGCAGTGCTATTATTTAGTAAGGGCTGCACTTCCTCAGTGCCTTCATTGGAAAGAATAAGCTTTATACTCAGGGCTGTTTTTTACCATCTTTGTCAAATTGTCCCTTTGGGGAGGGAATGGGGTAGGGTGTGGCATGGAACTGATTCACAGTGCAGCTTCTTTCAGTTTTGAAATTGAGCAGAGATTAAAGTAGTTCAGAAGTCTTCGTCTCTATCACTTTTAGTTTCCTGCTGTCACACATTGTTCCCTTTGAGAAATGTGACATGGTGAGAAATGGGGATGAAAAGTTCTTGTGTTATAATTTTCAGTTAATTAAAAAAATAAATGCCAAATCCCTTACAGCAGTGGCCTTATAAATACTCTGTGTGTGTGTATGTGTGCCTGTATGTGCATGCCCACACCAGTGCTTCAGTCTCACATGCTTTTGACAGCGCATTGGAAATTATCATGGACTTTTAGGTTCAGGACTTGATGCAGGGGTACAGAGAAGGATGGAGGAGTTTGTTTGTTTTAGTACATCTTACAGTAGCTGAAGCAAACCCAAAATAAAGTAAAAGCTTTAGTGTTTGCCTAAAGATGGCAACATTTTTATTGTCTTTTTTATTCTTTAAGAAAACATGCTTAAAGGCTCAATTTTTATGTTCTGGTAGGCAAGCAAAATATTTTTTCTGGAAATTTGATACTTTATTAAAATGAACACTTACTTGATTAAATGTGCCAAATTTGTGTGTGCTAAAAGGCAGGAAGCTGGGTTTGCTGAAATAGAAAGGTACACTGGCAGCTGGAGCTGAACTACCTCTGGGCGCCCTATCTATTAAGTGCAGATCACAGTAAGCTAAAGGATTATTATCTTCAAAAAATCTTGGACAGCCTCACTGGTGAATTAGATTTCTTTTCCTTTCCTTTTAAGAAGGTAAAATTAATTTCTTTTGGGTGAAGGCTCTTAAACTGACAGATTTGAAAGACTGCAGTTTCTTTGT